ATGCCTATAAATAGAAAAAAGTGTGTGACAATGACTTTCGGACTGAAAAAGAATGAGATATTGTTCAATTATAAGATAGGGGAAGTACTATTGAGTAGGCCTGAAATCGTGAGTGACTTGGGAGTAATATTTGATAAAAAATTGTTATTCTCAAGGCATATTGAGACAACTGTTAGCAAATCCTTAAAGACCGATGGATATATATAGTACGCAATTCTAAAGATTTCATGAATAATTCGACATTATTGCGGATTTTTAACTCGTTGGTAAGGAGTCAGCTAGAGTATGCTTCTGTGGTATGGTTTCCGCATTATTCAAGTTATCGTCAGAATTTGGAGCGAGTATTGAGAAGATTTTTTAAATACCTCTGTTTTCGGAATGACGGCGTCTATCCAGTTCAAGGATACTCTCAAACGAAATTATTAGAAAGGTTCTCAGCAGAGTCTGACTGATCGAAATAAAAGAGCTCGAGTGATATTTTTGCACAAATTGTTAAACTCCACATTTGACTGTCCGAGTATGCTCGCACAAATAGATTTTCATAGCAAGATCATGTCACACTAGGTGCAAACATTTATTCTATCTTTATGTTTCCAGAACAGACGTGTTGAAATACTCGCCACTGTATACAATGTGCGAATTAGCTAACCATGTTCACAATGAACTTGATTTATTTCACTGTACGATCAGAGAATTAAAGAAGAGTGAATTTGCTGAGTAAATAATAAATTGAAGTTTGAATTACCAGGTGCATTCTAAGTTGTATGCTCAGTAATTGGAGCTTGACTCTGTTTGAGCATGCTATACAATAATATTATTAATAATTTTTTTCAAATGCATAATGTATCAAACAAACAACATTATATTCATTCTTTAAACAGCAGCGTTGCTCCGTTTGTAAATGTTGATGGTGAACGTCTCCATTGGTTAAATATCACGTTTCCAAATTATATTGAAGACATCCAGAACTGTTCAGCGCGGATTAGTTTAAAGGGACTTAGTAAAAAGACTGCCCATGCACTGTAGTTCACCTCTAAAACTACTTACTTTTGCATCAAGTTTTTGCTTACCCAAGCAGGATTTTATTACGTGTTGACACGTTCATTTAGTTGTGATGCCATATAAGCTACATTTTCCCATATTAGATTGAGGGGTGGTTCGCAGGATCAAACAGATGCCAGGGCAGCAGAATATGCACTACGGCAAATTCTCCGTTGCGGAATTGTAAAAGTTTCTGCTTCATCAAATCCAGCAGAAAAAAGTGGTTATGTTAGTAAATCTACTATTTCAACCTTGGAAAAAAGAAATGAAGAAAACAGTGAGGAAATTGACGACTAGATATTCTTACCCATTATTATAAAAGATGAAATCTACCACTTGAGTGAAAATTTCATACCTGCAAATAATATTATGTCTGCATCTGTTGCATTTTTGTCCGGATATATTATTAAGAAGGTAGAACAAAAATTTGCTTGTGATAAATGTAGCAGACAGTGGCGTAACAATCAATCTCCGGGCCTGTGTTCTACAACACTGTGGGGCCCCTAATGAACAGCGAAATAAAAATTATTTCAAAATACGAGTATAATGAGTAAAGTATGAGTATATTGCAATTAGGGCTTACGTTATATTAAAATCATTCTACCTGAAACACTGAATTAAAAAACAAAATATAATAACTACCTAAATACATATAACTAAAATATATATTAGAAATAAAAATGCTAAAAATGTCCGTTTTTTTTTTATCTCAAAATTGTTTTTTTCTTGCTTTCCAATGGGTACAAGTTGATACAAGATTTGACACATCTAAGCTTCTGGCAATTTGATTTTCAAGTGAGATAATAGCCAGTGAAGATAATCTGCATTGGCCCATTGTGTTACTTAAAAAAAATTTAGTCATTAGTTTCGAAAAAGATCTTTCCGCTGAAGCCAGCGAAAGAGGTACCTATTTCCTATTGTAAGAAAAGTAAAACATGTTGTGATAATTTCACTGAAACTAGTGCAGGTACTAGGTACTCATTCTGTAATAATTTGGCGGTCCAGTGGTTTTTCTACTTAAAAAATTAGTTCTAACATACATCAGATATATTTTATTATTCCAAAAAAGCACCACAAACAAAATTAAAATAGTGTTACGATTGACGGGCGAATAATTAATCGGGCGTAGATAAAAACTCAACAATTTATTTCTGTAGTTGGTATTTATTTACACGACTATAACTGGGATTACAACTTCGCAACTTAAATGCACTCCACTCTTGACTGAATAATGAATGCTTGGTTCCCGACGGTGGCCTCTATTTAAATCCCCGCGTGGCTCTCGATGGATCCAGAACGCCGCTCAGAGTTTGCTGGACGCCGCAATCGAGACTTCTTCTCGGCTCGTCGCGACTTCCGCTTGCATTCGCGCGGCCGATGAGTCAGATTACATACGAGAAGCAACGCGTGGATGCTAGAAGACGCATAGGCGTCGACCGGGGCGGCGTATGGGCTTATTTCGTAACAATAGTTTTGAAAATACGAAAGTTTTCATAAAACACAACTGAAACTGAAACTGAATTTTTTTTTACGTCTTACAGCATAAAGTTTCACTGAAGATCTGTATACAAAATTTAAGTATTTTGTTCTCCTGAATCATAAATTAGTCATACTTTTGTAGGCTAAAGATTGGTAATTTACTTAATGGGGTGTTTAGATTTGCCACAATGGTATTGCGACAGTGCGACAGGTTTATTAGAAACAGATGCTGCTGCATTTCTAGCCGCCGGTGCCGGTCGCTAAAACCCGAGTTTATTGAGTCTATGATACTGAGATGCCGTCAGAGGTCCAGCCCTTTGCAGCAAAAAATCGTAAATAGCAATGAATGATCGATCCTGGGATCACGGCACATTTTCGAATTTTTTATTTCGGGATGTAATTTGACCAATAATATAAAAAATCCAATAAAAAAAATCTTCGTGTGACCGGACCGGGCCCCTTGAAGAGGCGGGCCCGTGTTCCAACGAACACATGGAACACCGGTAGTTACGCCACTGGTAGCAGACTATTTTTATCCACAACAACACCAGGACCTCTTTTAAAATTAAATACTTGTCAAAATCGAGGCGGACTAATAAGTCCTAACGAGCGTTTTGTTGGTGTTATTTATAAATTAACATCAACAATTCAAAATTTAGTACCTTGCCTGAAAGGGGAAAATATTTGCAAAAAATTAATTGACTGGATACATCCTCACCTTTTTAAAAACACTATATTCTCCTGCACTGAACACAGAGATGCAGTTTGCAAATTTATTATAACTACAACTGCAAAACCTGTACTCGATAATATTTGTTTAAGAGCAACGGATTCGTTAACGAGATTATGTTTGAAAAATAAACCTTCGAGCCGAAAAGTGCTAAAATTATAACCAACAATTTTGGTTTAATTATTATTATTGTTATTTATGTGTAGAAAAGTTATGCTTTGTTTTTCTAAAATATTTTTTCACAACTCTAATGAACAAACGCTGTTAACACGCTGTCAGTTTAACAGTTTACTTTAAGTATATAGTAATGTAACTGTTTGGTGGCGACAGTATATGTCCATCAAACGGGAACATTTTTATCAATGGAAAATGAAAAATTGAAACGGCCTTATCTCGAGAGATTGATGGAGTTGACGATGGTATAAGCAATTTAAAAAATATGAATGCAATTATAAATCACAAGTATAGACTTATCATATTTTGCACATTTTCGGTAGGATTTATTCGCTAAAATTTTTAGATGATGTCATGAATTTTTGTGATTGTAATGGAGTTCGTCGGCCGACTCTCTACTTTTACGTTTCCTCGACCTTTCATGACCCCCACAGTACGAAGAAATACGTTTCCGTCTGTCTGTCTGTCCGTCTGTCTATTCGTCTGTCTGTCCGACTGTCTACCGTCCCTGATTTTTATTAGGCAGATAATCTCCGATGGTACTGGGTCGATTACTGTCAAATTTTGTATTTATATTAGGAATATCATGTACATGGTAAAACGCTAACTAATCATCTCCACCAATAATGTGCTGACGTCACTTCAAAATTGTACATAGTAAATGGGTTTTAAATTGTATAAAGTAACATAGTCCTGCACATATAGTTTATGACGCCGCGTTGAGTTTTTACCTGAAATATCCAGATTTTTGAAAAAAAAAATCAAAATTAGAAAACAGTATTTTGCAATTTAATTATGAATCTGCAAAAGCGAATACTTTGAAATCTTGCAGATGTTTTAAAGTTATGATAAACATGATAATTTTTTTTATCAAAATATACTTACTTATTCCCTCCAAAAAACTGATGACGTGAGCTTAAAATTTTGCCGAATAAATCCTATCTAAAATGTTCAAAGTATGATGTATATATGTACTTGTGATTTATCATTTAATTCATATTTTTGGAATTGCTTATAAAGGGTGACTCAAAAAAATTAATGAATGCGTGAATTTATTTTATGATTTTAATCAGGAACTGCAAAACCGAATGCTTTGAAATATTGGAGATGTTTTAAAGTTATCAAAAGCATGGTAAATTTTTGATCAAAATGTGTTTGCTCATCTCCCCTAAAATGTTGATGACGACATCACAAAATTGTGTAAACAAAAAACTTCACTCGAAAATACTGAATATGTTTCATTGTACTGCAGAAATGAGGGAAGTTCTGTCGAAACAACTTTCGACCAATTTTTTTAATAACTTGTATGAGTACAGAATCAACTGCGTAATTCATTGGTTTTCGAACAGTAACTCACCTGATTCATACTTTTGAACCTTTATTGAACAATTGCATTACAGAAAATTAACTGTATTAACACGTTTTAACGATATAGAACACTAAAACATCGTAAGATTGCACTACAGCTGAAGTAATATGTGGTGTCAACTTTAGAAGGGTGTCAGATTTAGACGGATGTACTGTATTTGAATTAATGTATCGTGTAAAATGTATTAATTTTAGTGTTTGATTCAAGGAGGAATTTATTTTAAAAGAAGATGGCAAAAGGATGTATATAAATTATGACAGCGAAAGCAATTCTAGTAAACGTGTGAAACAAAATTCGCAAGTTGAAGATTTTACCCGTGCTATTTCACCAATTAGAACAGCTATTTTATTAGATGAATTGATGGCATCATGCTCGTCAATGGATGAACAAAAAAAGTCAAATATAACGAGGCATAGTGGTAAGTGTACAAAAGAGTTAATTACATTATTTTATCTAGTATTTGTGTGTGTTTTTCTTTTTGTCTCGAGTGGTCAATATTTCGTAAGGTAGTATACAGTACAAAAACTCTGTCTATCCTACATTTCCCTAGCTCACGCTCGAGAAGTACTGTAATAGAGTCCATCCGGCGAACTGCTAATTTCATGTTTTCTCGAAGGTTTCATGATCCATTGAAAAAGAAAAAAGGGATCTTCCATTTTCGTCTGTCAATTGTCTGTGTCTATATTTATTAGACAGATAATATTCGAAAATACTGGACCGATTGTTGTCAAATGTTGTATCTACTTTAGCAATATCCTGTAGATGGCAAAACGCTAACCGAAATTTGTCTCATTATCCCTTCTCATTTCATGATGTCCTCGGAAAATATTTTTTTAGTGAAGGACAATTCAATTTTATAAGATAACATACATCTGTACTTGTGGTTTATAAATATGCATTAATTTTATGTATTGTTATATTTTTACTTCCCGAGGTAAGCTAACAAAGTATAGTGATCGAGTCCATTTGACGAATGACTTATTTATGTTTTCTCGACCTTTCATGACCCCTGCAGTACGAAAAAGTAGCCTCCCGTTATCGCCTTGGTGTGTGTATCAATTTTTATTAGACACGTAGTTTCCGAAACTGCTGGACTGATTGATGTCAAATTTTGTATTGTGTATTAGAAATGTCATGTAGATGGTTAAACGCTAACCAAAATTTGACTAATCATCCCCACCAACAATTTGATGACGTCATCTCAATGAATTGTATTTTTAAATTATTTGAATGTTATACAAAAATATACTTCTATGTTTGTAGTGTACGAATGCGCCATCAGTTTTTTGCTAAACGTTCAAATTTTCGCAAAAACATTTGTATTACCAACACGGGATACAAGGCTTCCTAGCGAAGGGGATTTTTAGGGAATGGCGACCTGTGCTCGTGGGTTCGATGCCGAACTTGGCCCGTTCCTTCGCTTACGCTCGGAAGTATTGTAGTCGAGTCTGTCGGTTGACTCTCTACTTTTATATTTTCTCGATCTTTCATATCCCCTAGAATGTCTCTGTCTGTATGTCTGTTTGGCGTCTCCATGATTTCAAAGCATTCAGTTTTGCAGTTCCTGATTGAATCAATAAAATAAACTCGCGCATTCAGACGCAGACAGACGGAAAAGAGAGACCTATTTCTTCCTGCTCTAGGTGTCATGAAAGGTCGAGAAGACGTAAAAGTAGAGAGTCGGCCGACAGACTCGATTACAATACTTCCTTCGCCTACGCTCGGGAAGTAAAAAGAATATGGGTTGAAAAGTGGATAAACCTCAACTCAAACTCAAAGGGAAAGGAATTTTCCATATGTTAAATATGGAATTATTAACGGAAGATCCGTCATCATAAGAATAGCTTTGTGCATTTTAGGTGAAGCGGTAACCACAACTCCCACAGTAGATATGAGGTAAAATTGTAATAGCAAAAACAATAGCAGTATGATACATTGCTAGTATCAAAGTAACAAAGATAAGCAGAACTCTTGCGGCCTACCTGTAGACTGCCAATTGGATAAGATGACGGGGCATTACAAAGATAGGTGGAAGGCAACTTGGACACTCAACTTTTTTATGACAACCGACAAATGCGCGACAAGGTTTTATTCGATTAAAATAAAGAAAAACAATTTTGCAAATTTAAACGCAAATATTGTTAAAACAAAAGGTTTAAATAATAAACTAATGCATCCATGGTATAGTACATAATACAGGATAGTCCAGGAGTAATAAAGAGTCTGAATCAATTTGAAACGCAACCCAAAATACATTTCACCAGTATAGCGGATTTTATTAAATTACAATAAGAGCATTAAATATAGTAACTTTAATGCTTGTAAAGAGTTTTGACAAAAACTTTCTCTCACACTAAATTGCTTGTTAATGAAGAACAAGCGAAAGGAAAATTTTCAAACTCATTACAGACAATCAAGGAGGTGAGAATGATTGTTTGTAATGGTCATCATTGATTTTCTTTTTTTTGTTAATTCTTCTTGTACGACAACTTTACTCGGTTTTCTTACTTTAGGCTGAAGACGAAGACAGTGGTCTTTCAAACATGTACCTTGTTTTTTATTAAACAGTTTACAACTTTTATCTGTGGAGTTCATTATTCAAATACCCAAATATCATTCTATTAGAAAATGTCTGATTCAGAATTTTTAACGTCTCCTGAATTAAAATATGCAGCAAATGAAGTTGCGCAAAATCTGCTACTAGAAAAGAACAAAAACAGGTACGAAAGAAAAGGCCTACTTCATATTTATCACAGCAAATGCCAGTGAGAATGTGAAACATAATCTTTAATTGCAACGGACCAGCAGAACTTCCACAATAGTCCACACTATTATAAGTGGTTCAATATAATTAATTATGACATTCTTCTGTTTCTTAATAATTGATACAATTGTTGTTACTAGTAGTTTATTAATAAAATTCAAAAATTAAGTGGGGTTCTTTCTGTCCTACATGTCAAATCAAAGATGTCAAGAAAATATTAATCTATGGCGGTAAACTTGAAGCATGTTGAATTGTTAAACTGTCGAAGTCGGTGACCAACTGCCCACAAAACAGCATTCATTCATTCATTCATTCATTCATTCATTCATTCATTCATTCATTCATTCATTCATTCATTCATTCATTACACACTTAGGCATGTATGAATTTCATTATTGCCCTAGATGTGTAATGCATAGTTACTTTAGTTACTAAAATTGACGTAATAATGTTCATTACATATATGATTGAGAATAAAAATAAATAAAATTCGCAAAACTAAAGTTTATAATTTTTCGAAGAAGCTGCATTTGTTCAACACTGGTTGTTTAGATTTTGAGGGCACGTTTCTCTCATTAGAGGGCGACGCCAGTGATGGCAGTTATAATTCAGTGTTCGGCGGGGCTCTTGTCCGTAAAATAGTTGCTTCCTCCCACTGTTTGATTCGATTAAAAAATACGCGTGGATTTATGTCAAAAATGTAACTCAGTGAGTCACTACTTAAATTTCTTACATCTCACATATTAATAGTAGCTTGCCGACCTAAGGCACTTATAGTAAATAACTTGGAATACTAGACAACCACTGAAATGTTACAAACAGATCACAAGAAGGTTGAAACTGCAGCTTTTCGCTGGTTGTCTAGCCGTCCAAGTTAGAAATTCTTTTTCGAGATATAATAAAACTAATAGTGTAGATTCAAACCAACCACCATTTTACTTCAATAGCGCGCAAATTGTTTCGCTTCGTCCATCGTTGCATTTTCGGCCATTGTAATCGCCACGCCACACTGAACGTGCAATGATAATTAGGTGTGGGCGAACTCTTCAAGCGCTTGGACTAATTTTGCATCACTATCCAACATGTTGAACTGGACCAGTGGGTGAACATTGAGTTTAATAAAGAGGGGTTGTTCATGCACAATTTTTAAAAATTATTATTTTTATGTTTCAGCATAATAAAAACAAAATTCATTATTGGTCGTTTTAAGAGTACTTTATCTTTGCTAATCAGGAAGCTACAAAAGAAATTATTTCAAATTACGACTTCTATTAGTTACCTTTGTTATACTTTGAATGGTGGCCACTTACATAACATAGTGCATAATAGATAATTTTATTCAACAGGACTGTACACTAAAATTATTTTATATTTTAGTTCAGACGGTGACACCTTTGAAGCCGTTTACAACAGCAGAGTATGTGGATGTTGAAACACAAACAAACGAATCTCAAGTTTCCACCAACTCTACATCGATTGACAACACCAAAGAAGTTACTAAAGAAGTTATAAATCCAAGCAAAACTCGACGAGAAGTGAAAGTCAAGAAAGTTTCACCGATCAAAATTTTTGATGAAACACCCTTGGAAACGATGAGAAAAAACAGACTTACTGCTCTAATGGGCTCATTAACTGAGAATAAGCTACAAAATAAAATCCCGTTAAGTACACAACAAAGTGAAGATAAGTTCGTTTTGGACAAACCCCTTGTATCTATTCTTGTGGGAAATACAAAGAATCTCCGAAAAAGTGTTAAACATGTCACTTTCGATGTGCCTGAAGTTGTTGACTTATCTGATGCCGGAAATAATACGAATGCATCAAAAGACGTTTTTTTCAGAAAGACTGACATAGATATAACTAGAACATCAACAGCTATATGCTCACCTATTGTCTCTGCCAGTATCACTGAATCAGATTCTTCGCAAAAAATGTCAGGAAATTTTATCGACAACGTAACCCCTTTGCTCAACAGCAGTAATACGTTGGTCAATCATAATCAAAAAATTCCAAATTCCAAAGTGAATTTGTCTACTTCTTTGTCTTCTTCACAGGTCATTCTTAATAACACAGTAACGTGGCCGTTTACACAAAACCAGCATTTAGTTTTTATAAATGATACTGTGGAGAAAAATGTGAGTGAATGCAATGCTGCTAATGCTAGTGTTATAAATAAAGGTGTCGGCATACAATTGAAAAAGAAAATGGTTGATAATAGTTTTACAACCGAAATAAATGAGACCGCATTTCCTGCTGCAAATACAAGTCAAACAACAGAATTAAAGGAAACAGTTTGTACACAAACTCTAACAATGGCAGCTCCTGTAACATTTACTGCACCTACCACGTCCATCAATTCAAAATCAACCACATCCTGTGGTCAAGAAAATAGTAATATTTTTAGTGATACGAGCACTAACCAGTCATTTAGTATACCTTCAGTGGGACCATTTTCAATAAATAAATGTCAAACGGGCAGTACACAACAAGTTATTGGTACTTCCGCAGTTTCAATAAATACTTTTGAACAACCTGTTATATCACAGACAAGTTGTACGTTCCCTACGAACTCACACATGAAAACTTCCACGCAAACTTTCAATACATGCTCAGTCCCTACAAATGAACCAACATCATTTGTTGGTGTTTCAAGTAGTCAGTTGACCACACCAAATTTTGCTTCTTCATCCTTTGGATCCAATAATTCCAGCTTAAATTTATTTAGTACCACAGTTGTTACCAAAAGTCCTTTGACTTTTTCTGTTGCAACAACACCAAATCAATTATCGTTTAACGCCCATAAAAGTACTAGTTCAACAACTTCCGCAGTTAGTAGTTCAAGTAAGGAGTTTGAAAGTTCTAATTCTTCAACATCAAAAATGTTTCCTGAAAATAGTAACAAAACACCAACGAACAGTTTTTTTTTTAATGAATCCAACTGTTCTTTTTTAAAAAAATCCGCATGCAATAGTGAAAGTACTACTTCTTCTAGTTATGGGGTGGTCGGAAATATTAAAACTATGTTCGGATACACTTCACCGACATTACTTAATGATACAACTTCAAATTTTGGAAGAAGTAGTGGCAACAGAGCGGGTGTAGATGCATTTGAAAACGTAATAACCACAACTAGTGCGGTCTCAGTTACAAATAGTTTTACCACATCCACCGACTTACCAGCTTTTGGTGCTAGTAAAAATCCAAATTTCACACCTAATAATTTTGGAATCAATCAGAAATCCAATTTTAACAGTAACTTAGGTAATGATTTTAAAAATACTCCGCCGTCGTTTGGATCTTCCTTTAACAAAACTTTTGGAGGTAATACCAATGTATGTGGTTTTGCTACAAATGCCAGTGGAGCGTTAACAAATTTTGATTCTAACAGAGATTTCGGCCAAACAAACAATGTTGGTTCAAGCTCGTCTTTTTCTGGTATGACTTCGTCATTTGAAAAGCCCGTTGGAGCTAACACTGGCGAAACAACTGCGTTTGATAGTACGAACCATACACTTGCTTCTACTAACCTTACTCAAAATTCCCAAAGTAATATATTTACTTTTGGCACAAACAACACCAATAAAACTGCAATTTTTTCATTTGCCACGAACCAGGCTGTTAAGTCACCGTTTACTTTTCAAGAAGAAACCAACGTAAATGTATTTGGAAATAAGAATTTAAGTGATAATGCATCATCCGTGTTTAATTCTTCCACAAATTCACAATTTAATGTTCAACCATCAGGGGGAAATATGTTCAATATAGGAGTTGGAAATTCGACTCCTAGTCGAATGAGGGCACAACATAAGACAAAACGGAGAAATTAATATTTGTCTTTATTATTTAATTATTTTTTAAACCTTTTGTTAAACTTTTAAAATTAAATTATTTTTACTGTTCTTATTCAAAATTAATAAATGTATGGATAGATCCGTGTTTTTTTTTACTTCCTGAGCCTAGGCGAAGAAAATATAGTAATGGAGTCCATCGGGCGTCTCTTTCATATTTTCTCGATGTTTAATGACCCCAAGAGTGCGAAAATAGTAATTTACACAACTAGTTCGGGATAGCCTGCTTCCCGCATGAACGCTTGTTTGCGGCACGACCGAAGGGAGTGCCGCATTTGCGTGAATGCGGGAAGCAGGCTCACGAACGTGTTGTGTACAATATTTTTTGCAACGAATAAACCTTTAAACTCATGATACAAGTAAATATGGTATGGACATCCCATGAACCAAAACTCGTCTTCTTCTGCGCAACGTTATCTGACGTCATGTGGAATGAATGACCTTCCACTTCTGTGTTGACATCTGATGTCAAATATCAATTTTAAGGGTTATGAGGCAGTTATGAGTTTTTGTGGTTATGAGGGTTATTGTTTATTGTTACCAAACTGATGCGTAAAAACAAATTGGTGGTTTGCTAGCGACCTAGCGTTGTTAAAAAAATAGCGGGGATGATAGCAAATAATAAGAAAATATCTGTGTCCTTGTTATGCTCCGTCTTTTCGACAGCAGGTATTTTTTGCTTCCAGTATGGCGATCCTGTTACTGTCATTTGGCCATCAATTGCCTTGGTGGTAACACGTCTTCCACGACTGTTTGCTGGTTACCGGTGACACTTTCTCGTTGAATAGGGCTGGAGTTACTTTGGGACTGGAATAGTGTTCTTTCCGGTCCGTTAACTCAATAATTCTAGTACAGTCTGTCGTAACCTCAAATCGTAAACACATCAACCTTTCGTTGACAGATAGCGAAAATTACTAGCCTCGCGCTATCTTTGTTTAACACATAGGTTAGGTTCCTCTCTGTCGAATTCCGAGCATAGGCAGTTTGCCGTACTTTCTAAAAGTAATCATAGTAGATTAACTAGTGACTTTAGTTGGGCTCGGTAAATATTTCAATTTCCCGCCTGAATACAGCCAGGTGACGTCAGCAAACCTGCGTATGTCCATACCATATTTGTATCATGTTTAAACTGAAGAAATTAACTGTGAGTTATTTATAAACAATGGCGCCGTCAACACATCACAATGTTGACACTACGCGAGTATTTTAAGGTTACCATGGCAACGGGAAGTTAAAATGCACGTGTGCGGGAAGTTCGAACTCCCGCACCCTGGTGAATGCACGAAAGCCATCAAAAAAGATCATGAGTGCAAAAAAGTGGTTCCCGTTTCTGTATGCGTGTCGTCTGTGACAATTTTTGTTAGATAGATAATCTCCGGAACCACAGCTGGACTGATTGGCGTAAAATTTTTTATGTACATTAAGAATACCATCTACATCGTGAAAAGCTAACCAAAATTTAGATAATCATCACCAAGAATTTGATGACGTCCCCTCAATTTTTTTTCAAGAAACGTCATTAAAGTTTTATACAGTTTGTCAGTTACAAACTCCCATACTTACGGTTTATGAATCCGCATTGAGTTGAGGCATCAAAATTTTCACAAAAAAATTGTTTAACAACTGGCGGTGTAGAACGTCTCGAGGCCGTGGCGTAGGGACTAGAAGCGCCGATAAAAAGATATTGGTCATTTGACATGTGAACAAAATTTCAAAAACCAGGAAAAATACAAAAATTTGGCAGTGGATTGTGATCGTGAATAAAATGGAACCCTACGTTGTGTGTTTTTCTTACGGGATGCATTCAGATGCAGAGTAGTGAACGCCAAGGTTAGAAAAGTGCCCCTAAATAAAACACAAAATGTATGAACGACACAAAATCATTTATTCCTATATTCTGACAAAAAAAGCTGCGACTCGAGTTTTCAACATGTCGCAGTTGTTAAAAATGCCCGATCAAATCCAATATAAACCATTCTAAGTTTGACTGGACCATATTAGGTTTGATTGGGTTAATTGGGATACATTTGAACTTATTTTGGATTTGATTGGTGTAGGTAAGCGAAGAAAAATGTTGTTGCCTCGGTGAGAATCGAACCCCACGCCTCCCGCTTTCCGGGCAGGTGTCCTGACCACTAGACCACCAGGCCAATTATCTTTCTCCGCTTACCGACGTGTTATTGTGCCCACAATTGGGAAAACACAATTAACGGCTTTGATTGTATTTAATTGGATCTGATTGTAAACATTGGAAATAATTGCCTATTACCAATAAAAACATGTAAAGGGCAAAATGTGATGGAATTAATACAATTTAGATTTGGATTGTGCTAAAGTGTGCAAATGGATCATTTATATTTAACTCATTTTATTTTATCACTAAAATTGGCGTTCCTAATAGAAACAATTTTGTTGTTTTTAAGTTGGTAGCATTTCTTTTACATTCCCAAAATGCCTTTGAGAGAAATTCATTTGTTTCCGCCAATTATTGTAATAGTATTATTGACCCTTTTCCTGTAAGATCGTAAAACTTCCATAGTGACTTTCCGTGCGCACGCATGTTCAAAACCACGTATCCGGCACTCCGGCAGCAGAGCAAAGGCCTGTGACAACAAACCGCTTTGACAGAATGCAACCAGCTACACATGCGTAATCTATCGCTCATTGGTTAATTTTAACTTGGCGCTCCAAAAATCTGACTTCGCCTGCGCGATGTTGTCTCACTCTGTATCATTGGAATTTATATAATGTCTACTCACTTTGCTTACAGGAAAAGGGTCAATTGTTATTTTCACATACACTCATCGGCATGAAAAACGGACCAGCTCATATGCAGTGCTTCACGTTTTTACTAAGCTTATTTTTTATATTGTTTCTTGACCATATTAATTGAGTGTATTAATGAGCTTCAGAATGCGTTTTTAAAGGAATGAGGGAATATTATAATGTTTAGAGGATGTGTATTACCCTTTACCAAAAATTCAACACATTCTTGCATCATTCCACGATGACGTAAAATTTTCCAACAGCGACTTAAAGGACGATTATCGTTAATTTGAATTAGATGAGAAGTCAAAGGATGTAGTCACAATATCCACACATAAGGGATTATACATACAAGTGGAATTGGAATTAAATTTGCTAGTTTTTATTGTCAAAAACACATAGAACAAATTTTTTAAGGTGTAGATAACGTTTTTGTATTTTAAGATGATATATTAGTAGGTCATAGAACAAATGAAGACCACATGGAAATATTACGAAAAGTTTTTCAAATATGTAGTAGCAAAGGCAGTGTGATGACCGAATTTAAATCAAAGTTTTCGCGCTGAAATTAATTAACAACGGCGCGAAATCACACTTGAATAATTTGAATTTGAAAAAAAAATTCAATTACAAAAAAAATCGTTAAACATAGGCAACCTGGTGCACGGAAACGCTTGCTTGGTAGTCGGATAATTAATAGCGCTTAGGGGTTAGTTTTGCATGATTATTGAGTTAGATGGCGGCACGTAGCGCTAGGGGATTTTAGTTAAGTTTTAGATTTTAGGTAGTTTTTCTTAATCGTCAGCTAATGCAAACACAATTTAACAATCAGGATTATTTAAATAAACCACCTGCTAGAAGATTTCATGAAATTCACTTAGTCAGGAAAACACCTTGTTGTTTAATTAAGAATAAGTTTCTGGATGCATTTACGTAAGTGTTACATTATAACACTTCTTAATCCTTCACACAAGATTGCTAATAGTTCATTTACGGCAGTTAAAAAAGTTCATTATACTGTGCAGTGGCGGGGGTTATAATAATTTCTTCCCTTCGGTGGTTATCAACGTTATCATGATTAATTCATCGACGCAATTCCTCGCAACGATTTTAAAATTTAAATCACCGAGACGATTTTTCCTCGCAACGATTTTAAAATTTACATCACCGAGACGCTTTTTCCCTCGGAGCGGTGATTGGATATTTTTGTGTTTGTTTATTATGTGTTTTGTTGAGGTAACCAGTTCGCGGTATTTTAAACTTTCAAAGTAAATTGTTTTTTTTTTTAAGTATCCAATCACTTAGATCATGATATAATTTGACATAATGTAAACTCTTTGTTTGAATCATTGAAAAAGTGTGACAATTATTAATCTCATGTAAATTTTGTTAACTCTGCAAATTTTCACTTCATACAATATTTCTTTAATCTCACAATTTTAACCTCAGTAATTTTTCTTTGTTGTATAATTTTAATTGAACGTAAATTTTATGCTCTACAGTTTTAACCTCACATAATATTTCTATTTGTACAAGTTTATTTCATACCAGATCTTTTGTTTCATAAATCCTTGCTAAGTTTTGTTTTGTAAATACTTTGTTGATGAATGTTTCGATCATATAAATTATTTTATATCAAATTTTAATCTCACATAAGAATTATTTGTTGTTTAGAATTTCACAAGATTATATGGCGAATTTAAATGTTGTTTGTTGCTCTTTTGAAACTTTAACACTTGTTCAGTTGTTATTGTTATGGTAAGTTAATCTATATTGATAAATTCTGTATCAAGTAAAATTATGACGTATTTTGTTTTATTACGGATAGATATTCCTTAAGAGAGGCAACATGTGAAACCCCATATGGCTACACCTGCCCTACACGGACGTTATAATATATTTTGGACCAATAATTTGCGTGCTTGGGACGTACATCTGAAGAAAAGTGAATCAGCTGAGGTCAGAGCTGTTGTCTCTGAAAATTCTTTTAATCCCCAAGTCAGCCTAAAAACAGCTAATGTTGAGGTACAACTTCATGAAAGCTTACGACAAACTGATGGGAGCGAAGCACTGCTTTGGCTATTGGGCCCTGAACCAGAAAGATCTGAAGAAAATCTACTTCATAGTGTCGAAGAACTATTAGTGTCTGAGGACTATTTAAATGGCCCATCAAGATAACAGTTTGTGGGTCAGTTTTTCACCAAAAGTGAATCAGATTATTTTGCATTAGGAAGTGCAATTTTTTATTGTCGAATATTTTTTTTTGTTTTGAAATAAATTGTTCTTTAAATTGTGATTTTTTTTTAAATGGGTGTTTC